AGTAACTCGAACACGTTCCACCAACCTTACAATAGTGGACTGATGACAATCGAAGTGTCTGGCAATAGCACGTGTAGACATGCCAGCCCTGGACATTCCCATGGCTTCATTCCGTTGATTTTCAGTAAGTCTCGGCATCTCTAGCTCGATTCCTTCGCACGTCCAACAACAAATTATGATTGACGTTTCACAGTTCTTGTACTGCACATTAAGTTGAAAACATGCTTTTAAAGTGCTCGCACACAATGCTGCACGTGAATATTGGGTTTTTCATGTGCATCTCGTGCAATTTTTTTTTGTGCACACGGGCCGATATTTTTTGCGTTTGGGAGCATTGTGTGAAACAATAGCTCATAGAATTGAATAATATTATACATACAAAACCACCATGTAATAAAATATTTGGGAAAAAAAGTGATGCGTTTTCCATGGCGCTCAGTATATTTGTCAAATATAATATAACACTGATTAGACAATTCATAATAGAACGAAGATTGGGGTTTAAAAATTATTTCACATGATAAAAAAAAAAATCTGGAACATGTACTTTAAAGAAAAATCAGAATAAATTTATAATAACAATTAAAGATGGATATCTTGAAGTAATTTGGATACAAAGGCTTCAGATACAATGTACCTAATCTTCAATTATAAATCAACATTTTATCAATTCAAAAATTTCAAATTGGAGCAACCTTGACTGGGGTTTTCCAAAAATTCCTAAAGTTAGCCAACTTTTGTGGAAGAATTAGTTTGTTAATAATTACAACTGAACTATCAAATAATAAAAAGAGATCAATGACAAATGATCTAATAAAATTCAACAATGTTATTACAAGCTTCTTGAACTATTTGAAGGTAAAAAAAAAGCTGATTAAAGCAGGAAAGCAGCATTATAAACTCGTGTGACAGACGGGACACATTTCAAATACAGTTTTCACTCTGTTGATTCATGTTAGATCTAATTAATTATATGTTCTGAATCAGCCATATAAAAATGATGAACAACTTTGGTGCCTCATATTTTGGTGATAACGTAAGACAGATAAAATATCAACCAAATTTAAATAACTTCAACATAATTATATTTAAAAAAAAATTGCATTGAACTTCCTCCTTATCATTTTATTTTTGTTCAAGTGTGGAACATTGACATGGAATTTTCAAAAAACGGATGATTTAGAAGAACATGTTACTTTATTTGCTAAAGTCGAAGAATTTGCAAACCAAATAGGTTGAATCCTATGGTAGTGCAGTGATAGACACAGCATGTACCAAAACAGTAAGTGGTAGAAAGTGGTTAGACAACTTCTTTCAAAAGTTGAGTAAAGAAGAAAAACGTAAGGTACATAGAGAACCAAGTAGGAGGGGGTTTAGATTCAGTGATGGATTGCAAGTCAATTCATTTGAGAAAGTTAAAATTCCTGCTAAAATTGGACATGCAAATTTTGAGACTGAAGTGGTTAATACGGACATCTCTTTATTATTGAGTAAAGGCTCTTTAAAGAGAGTAGGAACATTCTTAGATATTTAGTGAATGATAAAGCAGAATTGTTTGGCCAGCCTATTGACTTAGAATTTACTTCTAGTGGCCACTACTGTGTCGATATATTTAGATACCAGTAATATACATATACATAAAAATGAAGTCCTAATGAATGATGAAACAGTCTCAACAGGATATGAAAAAAAACTTTACAAAAGTTACATGTACAATTTGGCCATGTGACAGTTGAACGTTTAATCTCACTTCTTTAGAACTCTGGCAAGATAAAGGAGCAAAATGTGACTGAACTATTGAAATCGGTGGTAAAAAAAATGTGAAACTTGTCTTTGTTATAAGAAACCTGTCCCCAAACCAGTCCTTGGTTTGCCTTTAGCAAGTAATTTCAATGAAACAGTTGCGGTAGATCTTCGTGAACTTAACAAAAATCTTTTGTATTTACACATAATAGATGAATTCACCTGTTTCAGTGCTGGGACTATTATTAAAAGTAAGAAAGCTTCTGTTTTTGTGGAATATTTCATTCAACATTTGATCAGTATTCATAGTGCCTCGAAGAGATTGTATAGTGATAATGGAGGCGAATTTAATCATTCTGAAGTTAGGGATGTTTGTAAAAAATTTATCATAGAATCGAAATCGAAAACAACCGCTGCATACAGCCCATGGTCAAATGGTTTACTTGAGAGAAATAATCAAACACCCACAAACATTCTACTAAAGATACAGGTTGAAGAGAAGTGTAGTTGGTAAACCTGTTTAAGATGTGCAATCATGGCCAAGAATAGCCTTGTGAATTCTAATGGTTTCAGTCCATATCAGTTTGTCTACGGAAGAAAACCCAACTTGCCGTCAACGCTCATTGATAAACCACCTGCACTAGAAGGTACGACAGTTAGCCAAGTCGTTGGCGACCATATTTCATCATTGATCGCTGCAAGGAAAGCATTTATTGATATTGCGGCAGAAAGTTCATAGAAGATTAGACGGGCATTTTTTAAACAAATCCGTACTACCGAGAGTCCCTTTATGACTGCTGAAAAGATATTTTATAGAAGACCAGATGCTAGCACTATTATAGGTCAGGATGGAGCAGTCATTTTTATACGCCCACATTTTCATCTGGACGTATATTGTCGTCGCCCCTGTTCGTCCACAAGGTCTATCTCCCAAAGATCTTGGTTCCTTTTGATATTGACATGTATAGGACCATAACTTCATGGATTATGGCTCCTGATTGTACAAAAAATCACGTTTTTAGCTTGTTTACACAACTGGACACTCTAGAGGTCACAATTTTCATCTGATTTTGATCAAACTTGAGATGTATGTTTATAACCCAAAGATCTTGGTTCTTTTCGATATTTGCGCATATCGGATCGTAACTTCCTGAATTATGGCCCCTGATTGTACAAAAAATTGTGTTTTAGCTTGTAGTCCCCCTAGAGGTCACAATTATTATCCGATTTCAAAAAACGTTTGAATATATGACCGTTACACCCTAATGATCACTTTAAAATATCTTGTGACGCTCTAGGGGCTTGTTATCATCTGATTGATTTCAGATTGATACACAGAATTTAAGGTCTTGAGACAAACAATTATATTTATTTTCAATGAATTTTGATAACTAGAACAGCTAAATCCATGATATTAAATGTTTCGTATGCTAAACGTTAGCATGGAGCAGAACTTTATAAAAACCAAACAAATTCTAATGATTTTCTGATAATTACCCAATGAGTTGTTACTCTTAATCAGATTTTGGTTTATTATAAATGTTTCATTACTGAAAAAGTAAAAATATGCGACAACTCTTGTTGACTGTCCGGACGATTTAGCTGCTGTGGGCGTATGTGTCGTTGCCTGGCAAGCTATCTTTTAATTTCGGTTTTGTTTTTGTGTCATTTCGATTTACAGGTGAAAAAGGATGTGAAAATGAGCTTTTGGTATTTTGAAATTTTTCATCGTAACTTTCATAAACTTGTAGCATTAATCCATACGAAGACATTTAGTTTGTAATATGCGCAGTTGCCGAGAAATAGGTAATTTTGCATGACTCACTTGTCATGTTACTTTCCTGTAAAAGAGTCAATTATTATTGGATTTTCATAAAAGTAACACCATTTGATGCCTAATGTCACGTTTGCCAAGGTCAAACCAATTTAACATTTTAACTGTCACCGGAAATGGCGTCAATTGAATGAAAACTATATTTTTAGCCTTCAAAACAAATATTTAATTCTAATCAACAAATAGAATGAACTCCTGCTGTCATATAGATATCACAAAATGGTTTCTAACTTTTTCAGTTGCGGAGAAATAGGCGATTTTTTTTTCAAGTCAATTTTCAAGGTTTTTGATCCATAAATGTGTGAATTGTTATTCGATTGTTATAATATTTTCACCATGTGATGCCTAATGCCATATGATTTCCTAAAACTGATTTAACATTTTCATTATCACTGGAAGTAATGTCATTTTGGCAAAAATTGTATTTTTAGCCTGCGATACAAATATTTGTTTGAAGTAAATGATATTCCTTTTTCGTATAAAAATATCAATCAATACGCGGATCATATTTATATTTTTGAAAAGTACGGAGCAATCAAACTTATTATCTATACTTAGTATAAGCAGAAAATGTTCAGGATCAAACTTAGTCAAGGTTTTGAAGTACCTGGTAGTGAAACTATACACTTAAGTTTCATCACTCTCCATCAGTTAAAATCAAAGCTATCTTGTCCCAAATCAGTTAAAATCAAAGCTATCTTGTCCCAAATCATTGACCACTGAAATTGCTTAGCTCTACTTAGCTTTAGCAGAAAATGATAATCATTGAACTCAGTCAAGACATTCACCTAATGAACATCTACACCAAGTTTAAACATACAAGCAGAGTTGTTTTGTTCTAAAGTCTTGATGAATCAAATTGCTTACCACTACTTGATCTAAGCAGAAAAGTCTCATCACCGAGCCAAAGTTGTCATGAACACTGTCAAGACATTCACCTAATAAACAACTACACAAATTTTGAACACTCCACCTCATTAATTAAAAGGAGAGTTATTGTCTTCCAAATGTCTTGACCAATCAGATTGAAACCTAATTTCAGATGTGTGCATCTTGAAGCACAAATGAACAAACCCACCTATTCTTTATTAAATACGGATACAACTATTTAACAGCTTAAAATCTCAACTTTTTACTTAATAATATTAATAATATATGTAGAATTATTTACAATGGTGAAAACTTGTAATTCATGGTGAATTTGAGGTACTTTCATGGTTTACAATCTAATAATTAACAACTATTTAACAGCTTAAAATCTCAACTTTTTACTTAATAATATTAATAATATATGTAGAATTATTTACAATGGTGAAAACTTGTAATTCATGGTGAATTTGAGGTACTTTCATGGTTTAAAATCTAATAATTAATTAGCATATAATTTAATTACTGTACCATTTTTCTTTTTTATCTATTACAGAGATTCAACAATGCCTTGACTGAAACTGTGGTGCAAGAAAAAATGCATTACCACATTTATTTATTTATTATGATTGGAAAGACATAGCATAAATTTAGCAAACAGGAATGATAGTAACTGTTTGGTTGTTTCATATTGTGTTCAAACATTTTTATTTTTATCCTGAAATAACTCAGACTGTGTTTATAAACTATCTCTGCATCTTTGCAAAAGGTCATGATGGGATGCTGTTTAGGAACATGCAAAACGAAAGAAGCAGATCAATCAAATATAGGTAGAGATAATCAATCCCCTACTGCTGATGAGGCACGAAGAAGATCATCACATGAACGTGGTCAATCACCACAGCGACCAGCAAATGGATTTTCTCAGAGGAGACGTCACGGAAGTAATAGTCACAGCAGAGAAAGCATACAGCGAAGCATAGACTCTCTAGTATTGGAAACTCTTTCACTGATTCGTACTTTAGTAGATAAGTATGTATGTAATTGTGGATCTAATATTTCCGTATAATTTGTCAAGTCTTCCAGGATTTTTATACGCCCACATTTTCATGTGGACATATATAGTTGTCGCCCCTGTCCGTCTGGACGTTTTATCCGATTTTGACGAAACTTGAAATATAGGTTTATCCCCTAAAGATCTTAGTTACTTTCGAAATTGGCATGTATTGGACTGTAACTTCATGGATTATGACCCGTGATTGTACAAAAAATCATATTTTTAGCTTGTGGTCCCTCTAGAGGTAACAATTTTTATCCAATTTAAACCTTAACCGGTCAACGACATGACATCAAGTGGTCAGGCTAAATAAATGCTAAAGTGAAATATTTTGTATGCCTATTTCATTCGACTACTGCCGGATAATTATAAGTGAATCTTGACAGCAATAAAAAAGTTGAAGGGGATAATTATGTTGATCTATAATTTGCAAATCATTCTAAATCATTTTGATCAGAAATATCGTCTTCAGAATCAGTGTCATCGATATAATCCGAGTCGGAATCATTCTTAAGCCTTTCAACCACTTCTAAAATTCTGACGTCATTGACAAACCTACGTCATTCAGTCAGCAGACAGCTGTCTTTCGAGACAGTCTACACTTTCTAATTTGCCTCTTTGTATTCAGTATTGTTTGTTTTTGTGATGCCTAAATTCTATTGAATACTAAAATGTTTCTTTATCAATTTAGAACATTTAGTTTTAGATTACCTTTTTTTTTATACATTTCACCTATGTGGTTGCTTGTATAGTTAAATTTTACTACAATATGCTTACATTCATATTTCTTGTAACATATAGCAGATCATGACTGGTTTCTCTGGGTTTTATTCCTGATTGTTTTCAAATTTGACTGAAGTCTGCGTTTGTTTTGTGAGTTCTGTGTAATATGTCTTGTCCGTATATTTCTTTTTTTGTAAATTATGTGTGGTGCAGTCCCCCTGCATTTTAAAGATAGGTTCCCAGAAAAGTATTTATTGGTAGGGTTGTGACGATAACCGGTATGTATGATATACCGCGACATAAAAATTTGACGGTATTTGTATCGTCAAAATATTAAAATATCGGTATACCGTGATACAACAAATGATGATCAAAAGACACAACGACATCGGCGGCAAATACCCTAGGTTTTCGCGAAATTGCTATAGAAAAGAAATAATAATTGAATCGCAGGTAGTAATAAATTTACCAATGGTAGGGTGACCCACCATAAATAAATATCTCCATATATCTCGACAATTACGCCACAATATTTATATATATGCCAAGCCCCAAATCAGTTTCACACAATTATAGTCACTAAATAAACGATCATGTTGTACTTAATAAGCTATGACCATTAATCATGTATAAATAATAGACTGAAAACTGGTTCCAAGAGTCGTCCATAACATCCAGACACTTTTGAGTAAAAGATAGGTTACGTGCCCTTGTTTTGAAATTAGTCTCGCTTAACCAGTCTATCGACCATTCTACGTCTGATTGACAGGTCGGGATAATCAAGACTACTTTTTTTGCGAAACATAACAGAAAGCTAGAACAAGAAATTGAATTTAGAAATAAGCACATTAGGTAGCTCAACAATCGTTTTAAGAAACTACTGCTAGTATCATGTTCCTGTCTAACCCGAGTGATTCAGAGATATAATTTGTACTAAACCAAAAGATGTCGCTCTTAACGGTACAGTTAATATAAAGCGATTTAAAAAATGAAACGAACGTAATTTCTAAATCTGCTGTAATAACCAAGAAGCTTAATTTTACTGCTATTCAAAATCGTCAACAATAAATTTTTTACGGCTGTAATAGTTGATATATTTGTAGAGAATTGCACGTGCAAGGGCTATTTATAGTATCATACTGTCAGAAAGTTGGTCTCGGCACGGCGAATGTGCACGCTTCAGTGGTAGTCTCGAACTATCAGCGGTGGACTGTATTTCTGTGAGTACATGGGTCACCCTACCAATGGCAATATTGTCAATTATATCGCCGTTATATACCTGCGTAATCAAAAATAAATATCAGCTGAGTGATGATGTCAGCCACGCGGTCTAGATAAATTAGCCAGTCGTAAATTGAACAACACATTCTAACGACATTACGGACTGGATATTCTTGTACAATTTAATTCGTAAAACAAAGTAGTGCCCGGTCCGTGCTTTAAACCTCATCAATTATTAGCGAGTTCAATTATAGTATGCTTATTTTAAATTAGTAAAGTCAGTAAACACAGTTCGGTTTGAGAGCCAAATAATATTGATATTGACCTTGTAATGGTAACACGAATTATATGATAAGTGAGATGACGGCATAAAAACTTGTTTGCGTGTGACTACAAAATCAATCTCTGTAATGACATTATTGGAAACCCCCGTCTTATCGACCAATCAAATAGTTAATTGCTTTGTGACTGACCTATTTATAGCTTGGAGTTATACCTCGAAAACTTGATCTCGGCAGATGTAGGGTACCGGAAACGACCGAGGTTTGCCGAATGCCTCGAAGTCGGAGTTTTATTTTATCTTTTTAACTGTCATAATAAATTACTACATTTTAAAACTAAAAAGTTATAAATATTAATAATGTTATCTTAAATTAAAAGGTTGAAAACTATTATTTTGTTGGGGTTTTTTATTTCTTAATTTGGTAAAGATATTGTATCGCGATACAAACTGACTCTGTATCGTCACAACCCTATTTATCGGGTGGTTATTTCCAATAAAAGTATGGCAATTTTGGTATTTTTGGAAAGTAGAGATATCCAATCTTACAAGAAAAATACTGGATTCCCTGAAAAACACCCTGGAGCGTATACAGGAGCAGTGGACGCTTATGGCTAGCCCCCGGATCCATTCATTTTATTTGAATTGTTCGTTTGTTTGTGAGTTCTGCGTAATATGTCTTGTCCGTATATTTGTTTTTTTTTTGTAAATCATGTGTGGTGCAGTCCCCCTGCACTTACTATTAGAGTAGAGTTTTTAGCCCTTTAGTACTGTAGAATGTCCTCGTTGTCGGGTTTTGCTCCTGTTTACTCACTACACATTTTTCATCATCATTATCATCATTATTTATTTATTTATATTTACCCTAATTTTCAAATATGGTTCTTACTAGATCAAATTTAAGCACCAGTGGGCAGCCCCCACCTGGAGTAGCCTGCCATAGGGCTAGCACTCCTAGGAGAAATTCTGTCCCTCTACACGGAACACCTTACTACATGACTCCGCATGTTAATCTCACCAATAAGAATCTAGCAGGTAGTTCTGATGAATTGGCTGCGGGGGGGAGGGGGGCAAATCTTACCTAATAATTCAATTGATTCTCATATAAATTGTGATTTTTGTAGTCTGTCTTTTGGTGCTTGTAACTATAGACAGTGTAAATTATGTACTGATTACAATGAAGCCAACACATTTATTTATATTTATTGACCTGCAATTATTGCAGATTACAGTATGTTGGGGAAACAAGTAAATCTTGTAAAACAAGGTTTAATAATCATAGATCTGCAGGAAATTCTGAAAATGCACACAAACTACTATATCAACATTTAAAACAAAATCCCTGTAAGGATTTGGATACAGAATACAAATAATTCAAAAACTTCCCGGTTCAGGACACCTCACTAATGGCAATATTGATCCTGCCGCTACACAAAAAAGAACATACGCGGAGGAAACTTGGATAACAAAATTACAGACTATTTTACCTTATGGTCTCAATGATAATTAAAAACATTGATTATAGCAACCGAGATGAAAACACATTTTTATACGCCCACATTGAAATGTGGACGTATATTGCCGTCGCCCCCGTCCGTCCATCGTCCACAATTTCTTGTGAACGCTCTAACGCCAAAAGTTATCATCCAATTGTTTTAAAATTGATATATGTTGTTTACATTAGTGAGATGAAGAAGCCTATTTAATTTCAATAATTTCCGTTTATTACGTCTAGAGTTATGGCCCTTGTTTCACATTGTTGAACCTTGTGAACGCTCTAATGCCAAAAGTTAGCATACGATCTTTGTGAAATGTATATGCAATATTTAAGTTAGTGAAACGAAGAAGCCTATTGTATTTCGACAATTTCTGTTTATTACGTCTAGAGTTATGGGCGTTGTTTCACTATATTGAACCTTGTGAACACTCTAACTCCAAAAGTTATCATCCGACCTTTCTGAAATTTATATGCATGATTTAAATTAGTGAAACGAAAAAGCCTATTGAATTTCAGCAAATTACAATAATTACTTTTAGAGTTATTGCCCTTGTTTCACTTTGTTAAACCTTGTTAATGCTCGATTGATGATAGTTATCATCCGATATGTATGAAATTTATAAGCATCATTTAAATTTGTGAAACAGGTCTATTGAATTTCAGCAATTTCCGTCAATAATTTCTAGAGTTATGGCGATTGTGAACGTTTGAATGACAAAAGTGATCATGTGATCTGTATGAAATTTATATGCATTATTTAAATTAGTAAAACGAAAAAGACTGTCAAATTTCAATAATTTCTGTAGATTACTTCCAGAGTTGAGACCCTTGTTTCAGTTTGTAGAACCCTGTAAACCCTCAAACGACAAAATTTATAATCTGATCTGTATGGTACTGTCTTGTAAAGGCCCCCAATTACCTACAAAGGAATAAATATGCGACAACCCTTGACGACCGCTCGGACGATTTAGCTGCTGTGGGCGTATATTTTGTTGCTTGGCAACCTATCTTTATTACAAGAAATTGCTATAAAATCCGGAAATTATTTTGAATGAATTGTATTCTGTATCCCAATGCCATACTTCCGATAAATTGTCCTGTGCACCTTGTGTACTCAACGTAGCCCGACAAATTATACACACTTTGCAAAAATCAACAGCTAAGAAACTTGGTGTCCTCATACAGGATATAATCTATTCTAATCAACTTAATGAACGTTTTCTTCCTCAATATTACGATGTTATAACCGATTT